CTAATGAGACGTGATATTCGGTAGTAATAATGATAGGGTGAAGTTGATAACAATAATGATGCTGACAATAGTATCAGTTTAAATGAGTGGTAGTAATGAATGAATGTTAAGAAAATGATGATTTGTGTCATATGATGATCGGTGTTCGAATCAGTGTGCTGTTGCAATGGGCATTGATACTATCGGTGTTTTTTGGTGTTGCGATCGTTTTCAATCCGTCGGGTGATAACCGAATTGAGCAGTCATTAATGCACGAACGTCTATCATGGACACGTCGTCTCAAATTGGTTCGTTCTGTTTATTTTCATTTTTTGTTTAAATGTCTTAATTTGGATTGACAAATAATCCAATCGTTCAAACGTCATTCATTTCTTAATCAAATTTTGTTTCATTTTTTGTGCAGAATGAATTCAATCATGAACGTCTGCAGATGTATCTAGCAATGAGAAAAATGAAAACGATATTTTTGACATGAGAATATAAGACTAAAGTACTGATAATAGTCATACTCATAGTTATGATAATATGCAAATAGAAATTGTAGTGTGCAATTGGTCAAGATGAGATAATGCGAAATGCGTTGGATGATATCGCAACGTTAATCGCGTCGTTCTTCGCTGATGTGGATTTGGTTGCATCGGATGTGTTGGCTGGTTTATCCCTTCTAACACACTCACATTCAATTCAGCATCAAACACATGAACCCACCGCTTCTCCTTCTACACAGGTTTAGTATTCGATTAGTTATCATCGCAAATTCATTGATTCGTTTGCAATTGCAATTCACTGTGTTCACGTTAGTATTTCAAAATATCATTTTCTTTGTTCATCATGAACAAATTACGGCAGTAATTAACTCGGAAATCTTCCTGAATCGTCTTTTTTTTCTTTTTCTTGAATGAACCCAAATATTGGGCATTCCCATTATTATCTTTAATCTACTCAATATCATTGTGACTGTGACTAATTTGACTGTTGTTATATGTGTATATGAAGAAGTACTCATAATTGAAGGCACCTGACTGGATGACTATCGAGAACGCACGTCGAATGATGGAATTCGCAACGGCCGTGTACGGTTGGCCTACGTACATGTTGAATAATTGCGGTTGTTGTGCGTGGTGGAAATTGTTCAAGAAGTTGGACTGCTGTAAGAAGTGCAAGTTAGTGTTGATTTGTTGACGTGGTGTTGTAGTTGGTCAGTTTTGTTGCCGTTATCGTTTCGAATTGACCCATAAAGTGAATTAAGATGCAACGAAGTGTTGGTAGTGGAGGATAATTGTTGTCTGTGCGGAACGGCATCATTTCAACTCATTTCAAATTGTCCGCGTACCGATATATTCTTCGTATCGTTCAAAAATCGTCTTTATCAAGTCCGTTTGAATGCTTTTGATTGAATGAAATTGTTTTGATGAGTTCAGTAATTTGATGGGATTTACGTTTTATGAAAGTTGATTTGATTGGTTTATGAAAGAGTCATCGTGATCGTTGATGAAATATTTGGTTTGCGATGTGATATTTGCTTATTTTTAGTTGAATGTGTTATTGTTGGTTGTTATAGGTGCCATTCGTGGTGTCAGTGGATGCACTTAGTGAAAGTATTATAATAGCATTGAGAGGAACAGTGTCGCTGACGGATTTAATAACAGATCTTACAGTGGATGATGAAGTCTTTTCTGTGGACGTCGATTGCGATCCGATCCTTCGAAAGGATCAAAATCTTGATGCTGATGGACAGGTTCTTATTGTTTTTGTTATGCTTTATTATTATTATTATTATTATTATTATTATTATTAGTGATTTCGATTGTTATTGTGATACGATTGGACATTTATTTGTTTCTTGTTTTGTAATTTGTACAATACTTGATGAATATTTGGCGTTTAATGCGAATCTGGAAAGTTCAATAAATCTTTAGAGTGCAAAGCAGAA